ATTATTGTGGGTCAAATGTTTCTATTACTATTATTCCTTCTTATCTTTACAATAACACAATGAGGTACTACTATCCCCAGTTCACAGATAAGGAAACTGAGGCCAGGAGAACCAAATGCTTACTACCATGCCCAACACATTCTTCTGCCTCATTAATCCTCATAACAACTTTATGAAGTAGGTAATATTAATATCTCTATCTTAGGAATGAGGACACAGAGGAACAGAAAGGTTAAGGGACATGTCACAATCTAGCTGGTAACTAATCAGGCACTCTGATTCCTGACTGTACCTTCACCTTAAGCCCGGGTACCTCCTGGAGAGAACCAAAGGGACTCACTCCAGGTAGCATGGATAATATCAGAGTGTCAGTATCCTATGATCCAATCCACGGTTTTACCCACTTGACCCGTAATACCATCCAGCACCAATGTCTCTACTCCCTGCTCTGTTCTGTTATCTGATCTTTGATTTGGGGTACCTGTTAAACTCGTTTCAGAACTTTATTGCATTCGATTTTAGCTAGCTCCCTGATTTTCCATGCAACACGTCCTTTGCTATAAGGTTATAAGCTCCTGGATAAAATACACATTCTTGTACATTTGTCAGAGCTCTGAGAGGATCGCAAGCACTGTGGGCTTGGAAAATACTGTTCCTAAGAGGTAGGAGCTATGCCTTTTCCATCAGGGATCACGTGCACGTGGGACAAGTACCACCATCTTGAGCTACCAAATCCAGATGCAACCTGGGAAATCTCTCAACACAGTGCTCATAAAGACCATCCTGCTGACTGCACTGTTCATCCAGATGAGCATGTTACCATCTGTGCCCAACATGGTGCTGGCGCATAGTACATGCTGAGCTGTTAAATGAGCAAATGAATTAAGCATTTGTTCCGCTAAACTAAAGAACATGGGAATTCGGCAGTACATATTGAGAACTTCTTGCTGGATACTTCAGAGTGAAAAACAATATGTAGGACATTATCCGTGTCTGTAGATTTTACCAGATTTTACCAGAATCGAAATAATTATAAGATGATCGTTTAGCAAACGTGCTACAGCCGGGTCCAGGGTGAATAAGAGACATGCGTGCAATGCCGATACATATTACCAACTGGTGGAGAGAGACACGAGTTGAGGAAACCCAGGATGGAGGACGTGGCCGGGGATATAATGCCATACGAATGCCCATGGGGCAGCTCAGCCAGGTTTTGATGGATTCTGGAAGATAGTAGAGTGAAGTTGAGTCAAGAAGGTATAACTGAGGTCAGTGCATTTACGGAGAGCATCATAAGCAGAGAAAATAGCTTGCGTACAAATTTTGAGAAGACAAAATGGCACAGTCAGGGACCTCCAGCTATTTCTGTGTGACGAGAGCACAGAGTTCAAAGAAGGTGGAGGGCAGAGGACGACAAAGAAATCTGAAGATGTAAGCAGGGACCATATCACAAAACCTTTGTGTGCTAAGTACCATGAGAGGAAGCATTCTTAGGAAGAGACCATATCGGTTTAGAGAAACCAAGCAAGTTTCTGAAAATGATGGTAGTGGGGACAGAATTAGAGAGTTCTAGAAAACCTTATCTGCATGTCAAAGTCCTCCAGCTTCATGGGGCCACCATTATTTTAATTTTTTTTTTTCAACGTTTATTTATTTTTTGGACAGAGAGAGACAGAGCATGAACGGGGGAGGGGCAGAGAGAGAGGGAGACACAGAATCGGAAACAGGCTCCAGGCTCTGAGCCATCAGCCCAGAGCCTGACGCGGGGCTCGAACTCACGGACCGCGAGATCGTGACCTGGCTGAAGTCGGACGCTTAACCGACTGCGCCACCCAGGCGCCCCTATTTTAATATTTAAATAAACACAGTTCCAGCCCCCATGAGGCTAAGTCCACATGTTTTCTTACTCGCCGCCCTCGCTGTGCATGCACACAATACCTGAGGAGCCTTGCTATTCTTCTGATCAACTTCCTGTCTCCACTGGATTCTTAACCTTCACTTTCTACAATTAGTCTTTTTCTCTTATCTTTGCTTTGATCCATGTGCAGATCCTGACCGTTTTTCCTTCACACTCTCAAATCCCATTCATATAAGCTCTTTGTGGATCATTACTACGATTTGCAGACAGCTATCATCCAAATAAATGTTTGGTGAGCCCATTTTTAAAATTATCCTGTCAAATCTACCGTAGGGAATTTCTTGTAAACCAGCTTTCCTAAAATCTGTAGGCCTGTGGCCCTTTTGTTCCCTTATCCCCGTCCTCTCCCCCACAACTTGATAACCTGTCCGGACCTTTTCTTCCATTTCTCCATTTTTCTTCAATGTCTTCCATTTCTGGGCATTCTTGGCCAGTCTTTCTTGAATTCTCTCTGTCATACACACACACACACATCCACACACAGGTCAAAATTCTTCCCTTATGTTATATAAAACATCTCGGCCTTTTTTTTTTTTTTTTCCTCTCTCTCTCTTTCCCATAGTCCACTTGTATATTATCAACTTGCCCCATGCACTTCTCCCTTAACATCCAGGTGACCATGCAGGTATTTATTTTTAGTAAATCAAGTGCATTTCCTAAGAGCTTTGCATCCACAGCCTTTACAATATTCTTTGTTCTCTTCCCATTGTATTTTCCCAATTTAAAATGTTTAAATGCACTACGGATGATTCCCAGTCATTTTCAAGTATATAGACCCCTTTGACAACTCCTTAAGCAACTTTAGATCCTCACATAATAGTTTCTGCCATCTTATATTTATTGATTAGAAAATATAGACTGACAGGGGGCGCCTGGGTGGCTCAGTCGGTTAAGCTTCTAACTTCAGCTCAGGTCCTGATCTCACAGTCTGTGAGTTCGAGCCCCCTGTTGGGCTCTGTGCTGACAGCTCAGAGCCTGGAGCCTGCTTCTGATTCTGTGTCTGCCCCTCGCCTGCTCATGCTCTGTCTCTCTCTGTCTCAAAAATAAATAAAAACATTTAAAAATTTTTTAAAAAAAGAAAATATAGACCGAAGGGACGCTACTGTGCCATCACCGGAACTTGAACTTTTTTATAATTTTTCCATCACATCTGCATACGGTTGAAATCTTCGAGTACAGATACACGTGTTACTATGTTTTCCAACATTCACTAATTAAAGATTTTGTGAATTCTCACATGTCCATAGCTCACTTGCACTCGCACACACTGAGAATCTCCGTGGTGGAGTCCTCAGACGTCTCCAGGTGACGTGGCTGCTGGTTTGTTCTCCAAATCACACCCCCTTAACTGTCTGTTGAAAATATCCATAAAAACATGGAAAGAGGTGTAAAGTCACAAAAGCATAAAAGCCAGAGATATTCATCAGTGGGTTAGCATTTAACCCAAAGTTAGGTACAAACATGGGCCTGATGTATAAAAGGCAGTAACATTTTAGCTTTGCACAAACTCCCACTGCACATCCCTAATGGAGAGGATTTTCGGGAGCCAGATATAGGGAAGACATCGCCACAGACCCCTGGGGCCATTCTGACAGAGGGTCGAAGCTTTGCCGCACGGTCCGATCTTCCCAGGCATCCCGTTGGCGTTACTTCTCTTTCTCTCTCAGGGGCTACAGTTTCCAAGATTTCAGCAACTCTGGGCAGCTAGGAAAGACAGCGGCTCACCGAGTTCTGGAACATGAGATCAGTGTTTAAGAAGGGACAAAGCCTGGATGAGCCACTGGAATGGTGCCTTCCAGAAGTTGTAGCTTTGCCCGTACTGGTTTTCCAGACTGCTTTAAATCATGCAGGAATGGTATCTCTTCTTCCTAGTCAGGGGACCAAAACATGGAAGCAATACAAGTCCTTCCTCCGTCCAATGGCGTCCCACCAGAAAAATTACTTCCAGGCATCAGAAATTTGGCCAGTCGCTTTGCACACCAAGTGCTCCCCCCGGTCTCGCTAAGAGGAGTTCTCGACGGCTGCCGGGTGGCTAGAATAAGGTATGTAAGACACTGAAAACCCAACAGCTGTTCCAACTCCCTTCTCATGTTCTGCCTTTCCTATCTGGGGAGCTAAAATATTCAGAGACTCGCATCTCAGGCTCCCTTGCAGCCAAGTCTGACCAGGGAACCCTCTGCTTCTGGCCAATGAGACATGACGGGAAGTCTTCAGCTAGGTCTGAAAATTAAACTGACAAAGACAGATTGGGAGGGAAAAAGTGTCCACGTGAACTTAATGCGAGTTCTACATGACACGGGAGCCCTCGGGAACCAAAGAGTAAGAAATGGTTAAACCTGAGTGTTGTTATGCTCCGTTTGATGAAGCGTGGACAGCCACGGAGCAAATGACAGGTCAAGGTGTGTGAGGTAGGTGTTGTGAACTGGGGAGACTGGGCAAGGCCTGTTTGTTCGGATCCTTTGTGGTCTCTCTCTGTCTTCAGAGATAAGATTGTTCCCTTCCTGTGGGTGTGGGGAGGGCACCTCCCATGTAAAGGTGTCACCTGCTTCAGGGGGAAAGGGCAGGGAGAAGGCCAGAGGGACCCCCCTACTTCTGCCATTTTCTCAAACTCCTTCAGCTTAAAGCATTCAATAAGCCAAGGCACCACATTTCGGGGCTAGCGTATCCTGAAGCCCATCCTCTTCCAGGGTGCTTCTGGAAAGTTCCCTCCATGGAAAAAAAGAAAGAGGCCTTACCACAAGCCTTCTTCCACCGTCACTCGCCTTTGAATTTGGTTGCGAGAGAATCTTAAGCCTGGGGCTGTGGCGGCCTCTTTGCACCTATGGTGACAAACCAGGGGCAAAAGCCAACCCTCTGAGGAGGCAGGAACAGAAGAATGGATAGAGTATGAATCCTTGGAGACGCCAAACTCAACTCGGTCTTCTCACCAATTAAGCAGCGAATGCCACAATGTTTTAAAGCCTTGTTTTTTAGGTTTTGGTTTCCTACGGTCAAAAATATCATAACTGATCTGGGGGCTGGATACAGAGAAAGCAACAAATCTGGCCACTGGCAAGTATGTTCTAAATACAAAGGCGAAGGATGCATTTTAAGATTTCTTTTTATAGGAAACATACATACATTTTTGGAAAGCATCTGTTTTCTGTTCTCTCTGCATTTTGTAAAAGTAGACTCTGAAAAAAGAGATGAGGACAACGCCCGACGACGAGAACAAATCCAGGTGAAGACAGAGCTGAGGACACAGGTGCAGACAGGCCTGTGTGAACCTGTCATGAGCGTGAGGACACTAACGCCGCCGGAGGAGAACTATATTCTGAGATCTGCGACGTAGGAGAGGCTATTCTAGGTGCACATAAGCAGGACAAGGAGACAGAGAGTGGGGACGCCTGGGTGGCTCAGTCTGTTACGCATCCGACTTCGGCTCAGGTCATGATCTCATGGTGTGTAAGTTCGATCCCCACGAAGGGGTCTCTGCTCTCAGTGCTTTGGTCTCGCTCTCTGCCCCTCGCCGTTCCGTGCTCTCTTTCTGTCAAAAACAAATAAACATTAAAAAAAAAAAAGATACAGGCGGGAAATGAGATGAATATGTATAAGTAACACATAAATAATTATTACTAAACAAATAGGGGGAAACCCAAAATACTAGAAGAAATCTTTCCTGAGTAGAAGAACTCAAGTAGAAGCAGAAAAGCGTGGAAGAAACAAGTAGCCAGACTTATCCCGGCAGAAGTCTCACAGTGAAGGAGGGAAGGAAGGACGGAAAGGCAAAAAAGCGAAAAGGGAAGAAAGAAAAGAATGGAATGGAAGAATGGAAGTCCTGTGAATAATCGGGCAGAAAAAGAGAGTTAATAGGGCAAGATGAAGGGAAGGGCTAATAAGCCAGTGTAAGCAGCGTCCCCTCTGGGGACCTCCCTAGCGCAGGGAATTTGGAGAAGCCTGGTTTCCGGAAAGTGTGTCTGTATGCGTACTACTAAATCAAACCTGAGATTTGAAAAATGAAAAAGAAAGCAAAGTTCCTATCGTTTTTTGTTTTCGAAAGGCCAAACAATAGCAGGTAGAGAGGGAGGCCAAATTTTCTGTCGGGCTGAGTTTCATTGTACGCTAAGGGGGATTGGGAGGCAGGGAGGGGGACTAGATGCGGGCTAGTGCCCAGTATTTACCACCACCAGGGGCCCCACACGTGGTCTAGGGCCCAGGGGCAGCATCCGGGACCTTTGGCAGCTGGTGGAAACAGCACACCTCAACTCTCCGGGGGCCATACCCTCTGGGCCTGGGGGAGCCCTCTGGGCCAGCGCCCTTCCCCCACGTGACAACCAGGAGTCTGTACTGAGCCCTCCTGGCAGGCCCTGTGTGGGTCCCTTGATGAGTTTTGTCCCTTGATGGCGACAGTCCTACTCTCAAGGCGCTCCCAGTCTAAGGCAGGAGACGGGCGCAACTAAATATGATCCAGGGTGCTGTAAGGTCATGGACAGAAAGGCAAGAGAGGAGAGAGATTAACGCTAACCAGAGGGCGTCTGGAAAGGTTTTGTAGAGAAGGCGATATTCAAACTGTATCTTCAGAGATGACTCAGGTTTCCCCTAGACTCTGAAGTTAGGGGAGAGACATACCCTGAGGGGGAACAGCTGGAAGAGAAGCACGAGTCTGGGAAAGCGCATGGCATTTTCCAGAAACAGCAAGTAGTCCGGATGGGCTGGGAGGAACCGGTGTCTGGAGACTGTTGTGGGGGCTGAAAACCCGAGTCCCTGACGGGTGCTGCTAAACAGTGAGTCTGAACAGCCAGAGAACACGGGGCTCACGTTTCATAAAGAATAAATATATGAGTGATAACGAAACGGTTTACGGTGTCTCCGGTGGTGCTATATTAACAGGCTAAAAATAGTGCTGAAAGCTTTATAGAAATGCTAATGCTATGCTGTTCAAATGCTAAGCATTTATGTAAATATAAAGTTGTAAATGCTAACCATTCCATAATACTGTGCCTTAATCTTAGTCTGCCGACAGAACCTTGGGGAGGAGAGGACCAAGGATCAGTGTTCTGGAGGGCTCTTATCATTCATTCATTTATTCCATCACTCAGCAAACATTTACTGAGTATTTACCTTGCGCCAAAGACCACAGATGAGAATACAGACATAAGGAAAGTAGAGTTCTTAGACGTTCGGTTTAACAGGTGGAGACAAATGGGTAAATAAGTGAGCACTTTGAAAGATGACAGGTGCACTAGAAACACATTCTTTGGGCGGCAGGAGCCCAGGGGGGTGAGGGGTGAAGCTCGCAAAATAAGGCCGAGCAGCGTGGCCTTCCTGGGGGAGGTGGCGCTTGGGATGACTCTTGAAAGATGAGTTGGGATGGAAGATATTCAGGGAGGAGGAGTGGAGAAAGGGGAGACCACATCTGCAAGGCCATTTGGGGGCCACTGCCAGTTTCCCCCCCCCCGAGCAAAACGTGAAGTGGGGGGTCTTTGAAACCTCAGAGGCATTCGCACCGGGGCACGCCGTCCAATTCCCTGGCTGCCTTCCAGAGGAACCTGTGTGTGCACGTTTTGCCGTCTGTTGTAGGATTTAGCGAGCCGACAAGTGTTCATGGTGCGCCCATTATGTACCCAGGCTGGAACAGACATATGGGGTAAGAGAGGAAAGCAGAGAGCAGGCAGAAACGCAAATATTATGGAAAATTGTGTCGTGTGTGAGCCAGTGACAGCGTGGTTTCATGTGAGTCACCACAAGCGGCGGACAATGCAGCTGTTGTGGCCTCGCCTCGCCTGGGGAGGCCCCTGCCCTTTGTGCCCTCCGTGTGGGTCTCCGTGCACGTACGTGAGGCCCCGTGGCTGTGATGGCATCTTCCGCAAGTGCTTTTACTTCCTTACCTTGTAGCACAGGCGTCGTGGCTTCAACAGGGACGCTGCTGGACTTCTAGCGAAGCAGCAAGACAGAGAAGTAGGCATGACCCAGCAGCACTGCGGGTCCCAGGTGTGAGTCCGCGCGTAGTTGCCATTTCTGCGATGTCCACGAAAGGCTGGGAGTTCCCTGTGGCCCCTTTGGGGCCATTTCCTTGAATGTTAAGGAAAGTCCGCCCATTGAGCAAGGCCATGAGCAAATGGGATGGAAATGCTAAACGTCACCGTGAACGTGCAGTGCAGGGTGTTTGACTTCAGGGCTGGGTGTTCTTTGAAAAGGCATTCATCAGAATTCCTCATCCTGCCCTCTCCTTCAGGACCAGCTGCTGCTTCTGGGTCCAGCGAGCTGCCCAAACTCTCTCATCTGTGTTTAGGCAGACCCCACCTGCCTGCGACGCACTCCTTCCTCCTGTTCATGGCCAGATTTCTTGAAAAAGTTATTTCTACCTTCTGGCATCCGTAGAATAATGTCTTGCTTTTATCATCATCAAAAAAAAAAAAAAAAAAAAAGTCCACTTTTTATGTCTCTTCACTGTTTTTTTATGGTAAATTAGCACCAGGAAAATGTCCTGTCGTGGAAGTCCTGAGGTGTCACAGGGCTACAATCTAGGGTGATTAGGGACTAACCTTCCACGGGCTCGTTGGAATTCAAAATCCCAAATGGGCAGCTGGAGACTGTACGGGAACTTCAGCAGTAACAAGGAGCAGCACCAAGATGAGTGAAATTTGTTTTGATCAGGATCCCTTAAAGCATATCTCAGGGAGGGCAGGCCCCTCAAATGAAATACACACAGTTAAGCCCTTAGCTTAATTCTGTGACATATCACCCCTGTTGGTATGCCCCCTGTGTGGGAATAGGGTCATAGAATGTCCTCTGCACCCTTTAAGATTTTAAAGACCAACTCCCTAGATAGACAGAAAGACAGATAGATATAGATGGATAGATAGATAGATAAATAGATAGATAGATAGATAGATAGATAGATAGATAGATAGATAGATAATATTGTGATATATAAAAAAATTTTTAAACTCAGGGTGCCTGGGTGGCCCAGTTGGTTGAGCATCCAACTTCAGCTCAGGTCATGATCTCGTGGTTCACTAGTTCCAGCCCCATGTTGGGCTCTGTGCTGACAGCTCAGAGCCTGGGGCCTCCTTCGGATTCTGTGTCTCCCTCTCACTCTACCCCTCCACTGCTCATGCTCTGTCTCTCTCTCTAATTAATTAATTAATTAATTTAAAAAAACTTTTACACTTGTAATTTTGTAAAAAGACTTTTTAGTAATTCATATGGAAATAATTTTATTGTTAACTCTGAGGAATTATACTCAGCGCTAGCTGCTGGGTATCTAGAGGGACCTTGACAAACTGGGATGGTTTCCAGACCCTTTGCACACATCCCAATTTGTCCGTGTCCCGTGAACGCTGACTAAAAGAATCAGCATATGAAGCTAAGTCCAGAAAGTGGACGAAGAAGCTGGATCTCTCTTCCGTCAGGAGCACTTCCCCCACAGTTTAAGGAGCAGGCTTTGTGACTTGCCCACCTCAGACTCTGTCTGAAGTAACATGATAGAGCAGCAAAGGAAGGGAATCTGGTATGTCAAGAAGCCTTTCTTTTGGTAGGAAAACACTATCTCCCAGCTAACAAAGGGGGGAGACAAGAGGGGAAGGAGAGGGCGAAGTGGCAAGGGCAATCTTCTGCCACTCAAGCAGTTGCAGCATCTATTCTGCCATGTCCCTGACTCAGTATCCCCTCATTGCTGCCCTGTGTCACTCTAAATCCACTCCTGGGGTGCCTCCCTCAATCTGCCTTACAAGTGTTTTATTCTTCAATGTCGTTTATTTTTTTTAATATGAATAGCAGAGGCCAATTGCCAAAGCATATAAAAGCTAATCAATATGTCAAAAGTAGATAAAATTGGGGGGCCTGGGTGGCTCACTCAGTCAAGCTCTTGATTTCGGGTTAGGTTGTGATCTCACAGCTGGTGGGTTCAAGCCCTACACTGGGCTTCATGCTGACAGTGTGGAACTTGCTGGAGATTCTCTCTCTCCGTGTCCCTCCCCCACCTCAAAAATAAATAAAATAAGAAACTTAAAAAATAATAGATAAAATGAACAGTGGGAGGTAGAGATACGAAGTAATACAGTATTCTTATCAAAATGTGAGAATTTGACCCGATTCTCCTTGTCATAGAGAAATATGTTGCTGAGGATTTCAAGATCACATGGGGGGGGGGGCGGAAATATGTGGAAATTTAGCACATGAATGATCTTATAAGAGAGTACCTTTTTTTGTTGTTGTTGTTGTTGTTGATTTGTTTATTTATTTTGAGAGAAAGGGAAAAAGTGGGGCAGGAGCAGAGACAGAGGAGGAGGAGGAGGAGAGCCTGATGTGGGGCTGGAACTCACGAACCATGATATCTAAGCTGCAATTGAGAGTCAGATGCTTACCCAACCGAGTCACCCAGGAGCCACTATAAGAGACTACTTTAAAGCCATTTTGCACGTAAAAACTAAAACACTGCATAGTAAATAATAGATAATATAGATATCACCAGAATTTTGGGTTTCTTGGGGCAACTATATAACTACATCTGGTTGTCCTTATGTCCCTCTGTGTGTGTGTGTGTGTGTGTGTGTGTGTGTGTACTTCCCACTACCTACAGAAATATCTTCCATGTACTGGTGCTAAATATTTGTTTTTTACTTAGCTGGATAAATTGCTAATTTAATTTCACTTTAATAGTTTATGTTCACTATGCTCATGAATTACTTTTATTTTATTGTGGGTTCTTGCACTTTTATTTGCTCCTCCATCTAAATGTTCAATCCTTTTTAGATTTATTTTTTGAAGTCACCTATGTCCCAGGATCCTGGAGATGTAAAATACCTTGGGTATTTCTGGTGGGAAGAGACTCAGACCAACTTTATTTGACCTGCTTCACTTCCTAGAGCTGAACATCATTTTTAACCCCCCCGCCACAATGACAGGCTTAAATAGCCCTTGCTCAGCCTGTGATAATTGTGTGCCCATGCACATTTCTAGTCTATTCTGTACACATCTCAGTTCTGTTCCTTCTCCAACTCCTTTGCTGTTGTCTGTCTTCTAGATGTTGGCATTCCCCAGGTCCCAGGACTACTCCTCCTTCTTCAGCTCTTCTCTTCACCTCCCTACCTGATTTCATTCATTCCCCTGCTTTTAAATCCCAAATAAATGCTGCTGAATCCCACGTACATATTTGTCCACAGGGTATTGAACATTATAAAATCACTCAACCAACAGGTCAAACCAGGAAGCCATCTTGGGCTCTGACCCACCTCTTCTCCTTCTAACTCCCAATTCACAAGCAAGTGTAGTTGTTATTACTTCCAAATTCACTCTTTTTTTTTTATTTTAATTTTAGAGAGAGAGAGAGCACTTGTGAGCTGGGGAAGGGGACTAGAGGAAGAAAGAGAGAGAGAGAGAATCTTAAGCAGGCTCCACACTCAGTGCAGAGCCTGATGCAGGTCTCGATCCCATGACCCTGGGATCACGACCTGAGCCAAAATTACGATTTGGATGCTCAACCAACTGAACCACCCAGGCAGCCTACCTCGAAATTAACTCTTGAATCTGTCTACGTGTCTCCAGGTCTACTCTGAACATCCAAGCTACTATCATCTCTTGTCAACTCTAAGGCAACACGCTTTTCTCTGTTACCAGTCTTGCTTCTAGAAGAACTTATCTGTACCCAGCAGCAAGGAACTTGGTGTCAGTCTCCCCATGCTATTCAGTGTGCATTGGCCCCATTATACTTGGAAAACAATAGAAGGTGTCACTGTGGGACACCTGGGTGGCTCAGACGGTTGAGCGTCCAACTTCGATTCAGGTCATGATCTTGCAGTTTGTGAGTTCGAGCCCCACATCAGGCTCGCTGCTGTCAGCCTGTCAGCACAGAGTCCATTTCAGATCCTCTGTCCCCCTCTACCTGCCCCTGCCCTGCTTATGTTCTCCCCCCAAATAAGTATTTAAAAAATAAATAAAAGTTGTCACTGTGACTTGCAGGGCTCTGTTTGAAGTGTGCCCTCTGTGTCTACCCCAATTTACTGGATCCTATTTACTTCTCCAAGCTGGGGTTGCACCCCACATATGATGTACTAGCTGCCCAGCAGTTCCAGAATTTGCTTTCCTGTGTCATGCCTTTCAGTTGCAAACTACTGTTTCCTGTGCCTGCAGTGCTCTTCCCTGCGCTGCCCTCGGTTACTTTTTGTTTCGTTTTGTTCCTGTTTTGACAAACTACAGATATACACATATAATAAACACCCTCCTACCTACTTCTGAAAATTAATGCCTGTTAACATTTTGCTATTTTTCCTCAGTTGTTAACATTAAAATAACAAAACAAGACGAAGTCCCTTTTGTCCTTCTTCCCCCAAGTCCTATTCCCCTTCCTCCGTACTCACAGCAAGTAATGGATGTTGTAGGTTCCCTCCCCTGCATCCATTTCCTTCTTCCTTCTTTCTGATACAACCTTAACTTTGTTAAGGCATATGCGCGCGTGTGCGTGTGTGTGCGCACGCGCGCACGCGCACACACACACACACACACACAACCCTCATATTTCAGCAAGAGCCAACTGTGGCCAGATGTGACCAAGGAGAAATGAGAGCAGGTTTCCTGGAGGTTGTGGTTCATTTCCCCAGGTTACCCAAGGGGAATGGAGGTTTCTACCCTTTCTACTCTGCCTTGGAGGTTTGCCCTTAGAGAAAAGCCTGCCATGGGGCCCGAGGACCTGGGCTGGCTGAATTTCTGATCCAACACCAAAGCAGGAACCAAACGGGGTTGCTCTTGTTTGTTCAGTCTTTATCATCCGTCATCTGCTTATCTTGCGTAGCTGTCTGCTGGCCACTGAGAAACGACAGTGGCACCACAAATAGAAGGAAATGACTTCCTAAATATCCTCACCCCTCTCCTCCAAAAATGAGAGAAAAAGGATATTTCCATTTATATCTAATCATTTTTGTTAATACATTACTTTACTATATTAATGTGCGTGTGTGTATACTCAGTGCTCCGAAAAGCTTACGCACACAAGCTTGAGTCTCCATTCAGACATAAAATGTTTAAACTGATGGCGCAGAACTGACCTCTCTGTCTCTCCTCTCTGCCTGTAGGTTGCGGCATGTTTACTCTCCTGTCGTCTGTCACTGCTGCTGTCAGTGGCCTCCTGGTGGGCTATGAACTTGGGCTCATCTCTGGAGCCCTTCTGCAGATAAGAACCTTATTAGCCCTAACCTGCCACGAGCAGGAGATGGTTGTGAGCTCCCTCCTCATGGGGGCCTTGCTCGCCTCTCTCACTGGAGGGGTCCTGATTGACAGATATGGACGAAGGGCTGCCATCATCTTGTCATCCTGCCTACTTGGACTCGGAAGCCTGGTGTTGATACTCAGTTCATCTTACACGGTCCTCATAGCGGGACGCGTTGCTCTAGGAGTTTCCATTTCACTCTCTTCAATTGCCACATGTGTTTACATTGCAGAGATTGCTCCCCAACACCGAAGAGGCCTGCTTGTGTCACTGAATGAGCTGATGATTGTCATCGGCATACTTTTTGCCTACATCTCAAATTATGCGTTTGCCAGTGTTTCCCATGGCTGGAAGTACATGTTTGGCCTTGTCATTCCCTTGGGAATTTTGCAGGCAATTGCAATGTATTTTCTGCCTCCAAGTCCCCGGTTTCTGGTGATGAAAGGACACGAGGAAGCTGCCAGCAAGGTTCTCAGAAGGTTGAGAGCCGTCTCAGATACAACTGAGGAACTCACTGGGATCAAATCTTCCCTGAAAGATGAAGATCAGTATAGTTTCTGGGATCTGTTTCGATCAAAGGACAACATGAGGACCCGGATAATGATAGGCCTAACATTGGTATTTTTTGTGCAAGTCACTGGTCAGCCAAACATATTATTCTATGCGTCAACTGTTTTGAAGTCCGTTGGCTTCCAAAGCAATGAGGCAGCGAGCCTCGCCTCCACTGGGGTTGGGGTCGTCAAGGTCATCAGCACCATCCCCGCCACTCTTCTTGTAGACCACGTGGGGAGCAAAACCTTCCTTTGTATCGGCTCCTCTGTGATGGCAGCTTCATTGATGACCATGGGCATCGTGAATCTCAACATCCCCATGAACTTCACCAATATCTGCAGAAGCCATAGCCCTGTCAACCAATCATTGGATGAGTCTGTGTTCTATGGGCCTGGAAACCTGTCAGCCAGTGATGACACTCTTAGAGAGCTCTATAAGGAGCTCACTGCCCGCAGCCAAAGCTCCCTAATGCCCATGAGAAATGACATGGATAAGAAAGGAGTGACACACTTACCAAATACTGGACTGAGCCAAGCTCAATACCAGATAGTCACAGATCCCGCGGACGTCCCAGCTTTCTTGAAATGGCTTTCCTTAGCCAGCTTGCTTGTTTATGTTGCTGCTTTTTCCATTGGTCTAGGACCAAGTAAGTATCCTATTTTTTTTATTCCTTCCCTCTTTGCCCTTATGAATGCTAACTTGTTGCCTTTGGCCATCAGAACATCTTATGGCTATGGTACCTTGCACATAAACCTACTAGACATAAGATGGGGATAATACTGGCCACCTGACATTTCTACTCATGTGGAAAGTATGCTTGGCTCATACCTCTCTTGTGAGATGTGCAGGGCTGGTATTCAACAGAAGGATTAGTTTTCCATTATCTGTTGCAGGAGGATAATTTAATAGCAATTGATTGGGGATAAACCAGACCTCAAAAGATGAGTATTGTGCAAGAAATCTGTTTTATGAAAGCAGTTTACTGGAATAACATTTTCTCCCATATCATTCCTGAGTGTCTTCGTGAATGGAAGGAAAAAATCAAGCTTGTAGATTTTCTCAAAGACGCACTGGTGGATGCATTCAGTAATAATGAAGAACAGGGAACGATGAGTTGGGAAGGAGGGTGGATCATTCCTGTAAGTACTGTATGTTTTATCACCAGAGTAACCTCCCTGAGCACTTTACTCATTAAGCAGAAGAATGGGAGTCAAGTTACTCCCATTCAATACAATATAAACAATTTACAGGGAGGGGCGCCTGGGTGGCGCAGTCGGTTAAGCGTCCGACTTCAGCCAGGTCACGATCTCACGGTCCGTGAGTTCGAGCCCCGCGTCAGGCTCTGGGCTGATGGCTCGGAGCCTGGAGCCTGTTTCCGATTCTGTGTCTCCCTCTCTCTCTGCCCCTCCCCCGTTCATGCTCTGTCTCTGTCTGTCCCATAAATAAATAAAAACGTTGAAAAAAAAATTAAAAAAAAAAAAACAATTTACAGGGAGATAGCTACACAGTTGTTCTATTTTATATAGCTGGTCTACTCCCATGACAAAGTTCAAACACTTCTCTTGAGCAAACTCTCTACGGTTTTCCAGAACAGGTTGTTGGTGGCAGTTCCTCGTCTTTTAGCCTCACACACAAAATCCAAACCTCTCTTTAGGGAAGTATAAGTCAACTCCTACAGCTCTCCCTCTCCCCCATTCTTTCTCTCTTTCCCTCTTCCTTTCTTCCTTCCTCTCTCCCACAAAGTTTTGCTGTTGTTGTTTACAAGGATCAGGGACCAAGCAGAGTTGCTCAGATAAAAGGAAATATTGGAGCTTAAGAACATGAGAAGACATTGGTTATGTTGAAGGAGAGGGAATCTCACGGACAAATTTAGGTTTCTGGTTCCAGGACCTGACAATGTTCCTAGAAAGAAAGTCACTTTAGGGCTTGCTCTGGTGATCTACTGTTAGGTCATTAACTATTCATTCAGGTGATATGTATCAAGTGACTAATTTTTTAATAACAAACAACTATGCTAGATGTTGAAGAAATCGTAATGAACAAGACAGACACTGTCCCTGTCTTCAAGGAGATGATACTTGAATTACCTGAACTATATTCCCTGTGTCTGCTTCTTTCTGGTCAGCAACCAGCCGATTTGGCCTCCTTAATCTCAGTTAATTAGTACCTGGATTTGCACATGACTTATATGGCCTCTACAGCTGCTCTGTTTCCTCACTTTGCAGCCTACTCCCACATCTAACTGAGATCAGTCTCTAGATATTGATTCTTTCAAATTCCAGAGAAAGAGAAGGAATCTGATGGGCTCTGTCCTTTGCGACGCAGTCATAAGTGGTTGTTCGGGACACCTCTGGGCCACATGGTCCAAACCATGGGCGACCAGAGCTGGCCCTTCATCTGGCACTGTGAGTTGATGGATTTCCTTCTAAGGGACTGTGCATGGGCAGATACGAGTCAATTCTACAATACCATCAGCCTCTGACCTCTCTGACTTGTTTCTGAACGCTGGCCCTCCTTGTTAAGACTTAGCAATGGCAAATATTATTAATGAACAGTTTCCTGAAAATAGGTTTCGACTATTATTTCAGGAATCAGGCATCTTGGGTGTGTATCTGTGGGACACTTATCTTAGTTAGTTTGGGTTGCTATAACAAAAGACCAAAGACTGGATGGCTTAGACAACAAACATTTATTTCTCATCGTCTGGCGGCTGGTGAGTCCAAGATCAAGGTGCTGGCAGACTTGGTTGTTGGTGAGAGCCCCCCTCCTGGTTTGTGATTGGCCATTACCTTCATAGTGTGTCCTCACATGGCAGAGGGACAGAGAGAGAGACAGAAACAGAGACAGACAAGAGAGAGCTAGCTAGCTTTCTCATGGCTCCACCCTGATGACCCAGTTACCTCCTAAAGTCCCTACCTGCAAATGCTATCCCATTGGGAATTAGGATTTCAACATATGAATTTTATGGGGAACACAAACATGCATGCGGTGCAGACAATACTTACATGGTTACTCTGCTGCACAAAGCTAATGAAATTCGAGAGAGCATCTTACGCTTTTATTCTCAGAAGCTCCTTGAAGTCCACCGGAAGGGCAACGTATAAGTGTTGTCTCGTACCAAGGAACAACTCAAGCTCCTTTGTGAACTTTTCCATATGAAGGAGTACAATAAGTTTTGCTCATGTGATAAACTTCAGGTGGTATTGTCTCGTTGATTTCCTTTGCCAGCGTCTTTTTTTCCTATACGTTCATCATATAACTAAAAATCTTCTTTACATCAATTTTCTTGATCCAGTCTTTTACAATATCAAGAATCAACTAAGAATCTAAGGAAAGGTGAGCAAAAAGAAAAGGATGCTTTTCTTGCTTTAAGTCAGAGAAACTTTTAGGTGAACAGACATTGATCATAAACCTCCAGAACCCACATACTCATGGTATGAGCTCCTACTCCCTTTCTGTCTTTAGTTTTTGGGTAACTTTGAAAACACGCAGCAAATTCTCCGTCACTAGCTTCCCATTTGATACACTAGTGTATTAGAGCAAGAATTCCCCTTTTCAGCAAACTCCGTTTGATTTTGGAAGAAATTATTGGGAGCTGTTTGCTATTTACCCTTTAGGATTCTTGAAATAGTGTTCTCTACTCATTCTTTCAAAATACAATTTAGGCTGTAGATCCAACTCATACGTATTGACACCTATTAGGTCAAATACTGTGCTAGGAAGGTTTTACATACTTTGAAGTAT